GGAATTAAATTACACCTTAAAGTACACTTGGAATGATAAAAGCAGAGATTTGTTTCTAAAATAATTCTTGATATGGAATGCAATAAAGAAAGAAAATATTAAATGTTAATTTTTGTAATTCCTAGGGTGGCGCTCTATGTTTTTCAAAACTTGATTATGCAGTAGCTTGGTTCATCCGAGAATCCATGACAATATACATTTTCCTATCAGCATTGTGGGACCCTACTATAAGCTGGAGAACAGGACGCTACAGATTACGCTGTGGTGGCACGGCAGAGGAAATCCTTGACGTATAACCACAGCTTTGTGACTGTATTAAAGAAAATAAAAAGAAAAAAAGAGAGAGAAGTATTATAAATTATGTTTATATAAATGCTTTAAAAATCTACCTTCAATAGTTTTATTACTTGTATGTTTTGGTATCTGTTCTTTAATTTATTTTGCATGGCACTTGCATCTGTGAAAAAGAAAAAAAATAGATGTGTCATCTTGGCCAACTGGTACCTTGTTTTATACAAAAGAGAATCAAGAGAACTGGTTCCAGGACCCTTAAAAAAAGAAAAGGACATATAATTGCTCTGCAGCAAACACTATGACAGTATCCTTCAGTAAAGAAAATTTCAGATTTGGCAATAGGCTAGTCTAGTAAATTTATGGGATAAAATTATCTTTGGCCCACTGGCTAGCAAGGACTAGATAGTAATTTTATGCCTATATGGAGTGTCTAATATCATTATGCTGACTGTGGGGGACTAGTAGAGAAACTTTTTCATGCTTTATGACTACCTCTTGTAGTTGCTGCAGAGCAAATATAAATTGTATTAAGTAACTAGGCCTTGCAAAAAAAAACAAACCAGGAAAAAAAAAACTTTTAAAAGAAGAGCTGGAGTCTTGTATTTATATGTATATATGAGAGAGGTTTGTTTTTGTTTTTGGTTTTTTTTTTTGTTTGTTTGTTTTTTGGTCTCACTGCAATGAACCAAAAGTGGAAGTTTGGTTTTTAATGGTAGCCATGTATTGAAGGCATCTTTTTGGCCAACTCTTGTTGGTTCTGTCTTGAACCATTGTTAATCACTGTGCTGTAATTAGTGTAGCTTAACCCTTCCTTCCCAGCACCCCTAATCCTTATTCTACTTTTCCTTAACTTTTTTCAGGGGGGTTGGTTTTGTTTTAGTGTGAGTGAATGTTTTGATAGTTGTGAGAAAAAAATGCATTTCAGAAACATTTCACACATGACCTATTTTCTTACACAGTATGTCTTATTGTTAATAAGAATGTAATTTCATGATGCAGGTATTTGATATCTTTTTTTAAGTGAGCAAATATTCTAGTCATCAATAAATTAAAACTGCAGTAGAGTATTAAGAAGGGCAGGATGACTTTATTGTTAAATTTAATCAGTATCAAACTAAGTCTACTGTTAGCTTTTCTTTTGTGCCTATTACAGTTAGTCTAGTCTTATTTAAATTGAATTTTTGTATAACTAAATAGACTAGATTAATGTAAGTTGTAAATGCATGCTGTACTTCACCCTTCCCTTCCCATCACACCCTTAAACTTGCCTTTGACACTTGTCAGGCTATTGTTAACTTATGGTGAACTGGACTTTTTTTTTAATTGGCAAAATTTAAGGGACGGTGCATAAGCCTTTTGTTTTTATAATGATATTTGTGCTTCTTTTTCTTCACAATTAGATGGCGTGTCACAATGAATGTCTACTGGCTAATTGCAGGGCTAGCAATGACGATATGGCAGCTTTAATTTCCAAGTTATTACAGTTTCTTTGTCAAGGTGTAATGTGTAGCATATTAGCAATAATTACATGTATTTATAGCAAATGGATACTTTTTTCACCTCACTGAGCCAATCCATTTAATTGTCTAATGATGAATATACACACAGTTCAAAATGTACTATTTGTGTGTGTATCTTATGTATAAACTATATATAAGCATTTCTCTGGGCCAAATTGCTTCACTTTGTTTAATATTCTATTGCCTTATGATATCACTGAATTTGTTTGAAGGGCATTTTCTACATGAACAAAGGCTTTGATGCGTGTTCCATTTCTTAGGTGAATCAGGTAGTGATGTTTCCTGAGGAGAGTTGCACAATGAAAACCAGTCTAGTTGTGACCCACTAAGTGTTTCTTTTTTCATCACTATTACACAGCTTAATTTTGCTGACCGTGTTTATATTTGGTTTGTGTTTAATGAAGTTTGGTTGATGCCATTCATTGCACTGCTAAAGTGAAGCCTTGCTTAAATTTAGCTTTCTGCTGATTTCAGTGTGGGCAATGTAACAAAACCAAAAAAGGCTGAACAGACTTCTTATGTTTTGTAGATATGGAAAATTATTCTTCTGTATGTGTGCTTTTTGCAGTAGTGGAGTCTAGCTCACAAAAGTGAAGCTTCACTTAGGTTGATTCTTTGTTTAGGAAGTATGGGTTGATTATGAAATGAAAAGAATTAAAACAAGTGCTGTAGAGAGCATCACAACAGAACTGCAGGAGTCCAAATTTAATAAGCTATCTTTAAAGATACCAACAAATGTCTAAAATAGACTTTACCATGTTTTATTATTTAAAATCATTGTCTTGAGTTTTTTGTTGAAAAAAATAAAAATTTGAATACAATCAAAACTTATCTCTAAGACTTTTTTTTTTAAATTATTGCCTGTCTTTGTTTCTTTTCATTTTACATACAGTTTAGTATGAAATCCAGTATGTTAGTCTACAAAAATCTTGTTAGGACAGCTAGATGGCTCAGTAGATAGAACCTGGAGTCAGAAAGACCTGAGTTCAAGTCTGGCCACAGACATTTACTAGCTATGTGTGATTTTGTGTGATGTGTGTCATCAACCTTTGCATGTCTCAGTTTTCTCATCTGTAAAATGAGGATGTTATGCTCTTACCTCCTCAGTTGAGGATAAAAGGAGATTTGTATCCCCAGTGCTTAGCATAGTGCCTGGCACATAGTAGGTACTTAAAAATTAGTTGACTTTTGTAAATTTTGAAACACTGTTAGCTCTTATTATAATTTATTAGTTATTATGTATTAGAAATCAGAATATAATAATGAATTAAGCTTCAAAGCCTAAATTTTAAAGCACTTATAAATTTAGTTTAAGGGAGTTATATACATATATATGTACTTATATACATAAATATGTACATGCACATATGTATTTTACAGATACTGAATGTAATAAATTTCCATGACTTTCCTATTCTTTGTTTGCCTCCTAGATCATACTTCCTTACCACACATGCAGTTTCATGTTCATAAAACTTATATTTAATATTTATTAAGAGTCTGTATGCATTTGGCACTAAAGAAAGCCCAAAATAATTTTGTTCAAAGATGGTTAGAACTGGAAGGGAACTGAGAGATCATCTGACCTAAAGAGAAACTGAGACCCATAGATGATAAGTAAGTGGCAAATGCCCAAGACTCATAGCTTGTTAACAAGCAGAACAAGGGTCAGCAGCCCGATGTTCTTTGTACTCACTATTATACCACATTGCTTTCTTTCAGTAGTAGGTGTAAAGTTCTATTTCATTACATCTTCCGAAATTTTAGATGATACTAGGTTGTAAAATATTTAACACAGTCTGAATCCTTATTTATTGTAGCTCTTAAAAGTCAATTTCTAGATTGGTTTAAAAATTAGATTCAAACCCACTGAGCAGAGACTGTAAATTATACCAGTTTTAAATGTTAGAGTTCAATTGATAGAGAAAAGTAGTGCTTCTTAGAGTAATATATCAGAATAGTGATAATACGTTTCCTCTTTAGTTAAATTAATTTACTGATATACAGTACTTCAGTCAATCCATGGTCTCTTTGATGTGGATACTACCTCCTGCAGTGCAGATTTCAACCCACTGAGGCTTTCTTACCCTACTGGATTAATCTATATTTTCCTATAGATTCTCCTCCATAAGGGGACCACCAAGGCACTAAGGCTGTTTCTCTAGATCTTTTTTTTTACAGCACTAACGTAGGTGTCACTATAGAATTGGCCTACTGATAACCTTACTGCACAACCATCCTACATCCTTTTTCCCTGGTATATATATCTCATGGATAACATACATATGCCACTAAGGTCAGAATTAGTAACATGTTTCCATTTATACACCATTTATCCTCTTCATTATCTTTTGAGTCATTCACAATTTTGATTGTTTTAGAAATTGTATTTTATGATTTACAACTAACATTACCAGAAGAATATTGGTATTAAGAAGATTGGGTTTTGTTTCTGGGAGTAGCTTGGAATCCTTGAAAACATTTCGTATTTTCTCAACTGTAATCCATGTCATGGAGCAGCTAAATGGTGCAGTGGATAGAATCCTGGGCCTGGAGTCAGGAAGACTCTTCCTGAATTCAGATCAGGCCTCAGACACTTAGTAATTGTGTGACCCCGGGCAAGTCCCTTAACCCTGTTTGCCTCAGTTAAAATAAAAATGAGCTGGAGAAGGAAATGACAAACCACTACAGTGTCTTTGCCAAGAAAACCTCAGTTGGGGTCATAAAGAGTTGGAAACAACTGACATGACTAAACAACAAAAATCCATGTCACACTTTTTGGGTATAGGTTGGGCTAGGTTGAGGACCTTTTTTATGTCATGGGTCCCTTTTGCAATTTGAAGTTTATGGACCCCTCCTCAAAACAATTTTTTAAATGCATAAAATTTTAAAAATGGGATCACAAAGGAAACCAATTATATTGAAATAGTAATTATAAAAGTATTGAAGGTCCCAAATTATCAAACCCCTTGAAATCTTTCCACGGACCCCAGGGTAATAACCTCTGGACTAGATAGTTGTTAAGGTCCCCTCCAACTATCAAATTTTGTCATTTTCTTCCTTTTTAATTCTGAGCACAGAATACTATCTACCTGCAGTGTCTATCCAAGTTATATGTACTGGTAGACAAGTTCAGTTCACTGTCTAACACTACTACATATTATAGTGTGGACAGTAGCTGTTCTTTATCTTTTTTTTTTCCCGTGTGGATCACTTGGCTAAGCTCTTGAGTGTTTGTGTATATCATTAAGGAAAATGTAATGTTTTAGGGCTTGGTGCAATCAACACAAGATCATCAGCAGAGGAACATCTGGAGCACCTTATTTAAAGGGAATCCCTTTTTTCCATTTTGACTGCACTGGACATCCTTCATGATTGTGAAAACACATTTGGTGAGTACACTTTTTCTTGTTTTATAACTTGTTTTATACTGATAATCAGAGCATCACACAAAGTTTATCTCTGTTAATCTATCTTTCAGAGAATCTTATATGGTCTCAACATATACGCAGGCTACATTTTGCTCTGCTAAATCAGATGCCCTTTAAAAAATTATAAATGAAATCTTGTATTCATAGTACTTTTTAGTCATTTCTGTGAATGAATATGTGGTTTGCTATAGAAAATGATTTGTGAAAGCCTGCCTGTTTCTCATTTTCATCAAGGAGACTTTCAAGATATGTGTAGCTCATACTCTCTGAGATAGGGAAAGGCAAGTTACTGGGAAATGTAGGTAATTAAAAACAAAAGATCAATAAATTTATTTTAAAGAAAAAAAGTTAATTCTACTAGTACACTAATAAATTAGACAAATGTTAAAACTGGATTGTAGTTTGCCTTTCTTTTAATCTTTAATTATTTGTATAGTTGATATTTATTTCTAATCTGCTAGGCTTCAGATAGTTTCTCCATGATTTTGGTAAAGTATAGATGTGACCATATTACCCTTCCTGCTCAACTCAGCTTCAGTGGCTCCTTTATACTTCCAGGATCAAATATAAACTCCTGGGCATTTATTTGATAACCAGGCTATGTGTTGTCACCTTCATTAGAATGGAGTTTCTTTTAGTGCCTTTCTTTATATCCCTAAGCACTTAGCACAGTGCCTGGCACATAGTAAGCACTTAATAAATGTTTATTGATTCACTGCATCTCTATCTCAATCACTCTCTCAAAAACTCATCATGTTTTTAGTTATTACATCAGGGTGAACTTTTTAAAATTTCATTGCTTTTTCCTTTATATTCAACCCTTTCAGTGCTGTCCCTCACCCTTTATAAACCTTCCTCAATGAGTAACCCTCTTTCTTCTTTTGTTCTTAGACAGAAGTAGAAACAAACTTGAGACTGCCTACTACTGCCCCAAGTTTCCCCTGCCTGAATGAAGTAAGTAAGGGTTCTGGGAAGAAGGAACTCCAGCCATAGATCCTAAGCTGTAAGCAAAAAAGAAATAAACAATGAATGGTGAGAAGCACCCATGTGACCATAGCAGAATTGGAAGGTGTTTGAGCTAATATGAGATTCTTTTCCCTTCAATTTCAGTAGGCATACTTGGGAATATAACTGTAGGTATTCTTGTGAACAATCTCAATATAAGAACCAAGTCTTCTCATACAGCCACCACCCTAGTTCTCATCTTCTCCTCTTACCTGGATTATGGCAGTAGCCTCAGGTATTTGCCTTTTCTGTTGTCTACTCAGCTGATAAATTCATATCCCTAAATCACAGATATGACATCACTTCTCTTCTCAAAAAAGCTTCATATTTTCTCTAGAATAAGATAAAAATTTCTCTCATGTTTAATGCCCTTCATCATCTGGCTCCAGCCTATGATTTCATGTATTCTATATATTCTTTTTTTTTCCCCCAATTCATAGGCAGTTGGGGTTAAGTGACTTGCCCAGGGTCACACAGCTAGTAAGTGTCAAGTGTTTGGTCTGAGGCCATATTTGAACTCAGGTCCTCCTGACTTCAGGGCCGGTGCTCTAACCACTGCGCCACCTACCTGCCTCCCTTTCTAAGTTTTTCTGAAGTCCACCTGCTCTTCATTTCTTTTACCACAATAGTATTCCATTACATTTGTGTACTACAACTTGTTCAGCCATTCCCCAATTGATGGACATCCCCTCAATTTCCAGTTCTTTGCCACTACAGAAAGAAGTGCTACTTCTTTTACAAAGCCTTTCTTCATCATGAATTTGGACAGACTTCAAGAGATAATAGAGGATAGAAGGCCCTGGTGTGCTATTGTCCATGGGGTCACAAAGAGTCAGACACAATGAAATAACAACAATAACAATTATTAGCACCACCTACCTGCCCCTGCCAAAAGTACTTTGTATTTGATATACGTGTATATATGGATATACAGATACACATATACACACACATAGAGAGAGAGAGAGAGACATGCCTATATCTAAATTACTATTTAATATTATATGTATATCAATATCTATAAAATATATGTATGTACAACATTTGAGTGTGTTTACCCCCAGTAGAGTGTTAGTTACTTGGAAGCAGTGACTGTTTTAATTTTTAGTTTTGTGTGCCTAGGCCAGTGCCTCAAATTTAGTAGCTGCTTTAACAAATGCTTTTTTAATTGAATGGAATTAAATGAGGTTATTTCATTCAAAAATTTATTTTGTTATAGAGAAATAATTTTACTTTTCTTTTAAAATCTTAAAATTTAAATGTTTTTAAAAATGATGTACAAGTGTTATTTGAATTTGTAACTCCAAGCCCTTTAAAGGAAGCAATTTTTATAAAGGGAAGTATGTGATCCTCTTAGTTGCTAAGAGCTCATTAAATGCTATCTAATTAGTAAAAGTATAGCAGATAAATATGTAATAAATAGTGAAACTACTGAAAGAGGCAATCAGAATTTTCAAACAGACAAGCAGTATTATAGTCATTTATAGCCTGTATAACTTCTTTTTGTCTGCCTTGCTCCAAGATTAAAGATAAGGGGCAGAAATGCTACAGAGATCAAATGAATTTACTGCTTACTAAGTATAATATTTTCAGCTATGGTAGAAGGTCAAAGGCTAGAAGAAAGTCACCTTCAAGGGCTTTTATTGTCAAGGCATCCTAAACCTGCAAAGTTACCCCTGTAAACCATGAATACATGAGATTTATTGAACCCAAGTTAATAGATTCACATGAGTTAATTCTATTCATGCCTATTCAAGTGGGGGGAGAGGGGGAACAGGGTGGGGACTAAAAATTAACTGATACAGGGGTGGTTCAATATTTAGGAAAATCAAATATCACAGATCATAGTAATCACAAAACCAAAAATCATGATTATATCAATGCATTTTGACAAAATCCATTTCTGTTAACACTAAAAATAATTGGAATAAATGGATCTTTTCTTAATATGATAAGCAATTGCTATTTGACCCAAGAGCCAGCATGATATAGAATGGAGATAAACCAGAGGCCTTTCCATATTAAGAGCATGGGTAAAGCAAGGCTCTCCATTATCAAAAGTAATATTTGATATAGTGCTAGAAATGCTATGTGTAGCTATAAGACAAGGAAAAGACATTGAGAGAATAAGCATAGATAAAGAAGAAAGAAAATTGTCACTTTTTGCTGATGATATATGGTAATTTACTTTACCGTGGAGTTAACTAAAAAGTTAATTAAAACAACTTCGGCAGTTCCAGGATATAAAATAAATCAACATAAATAATTTTATTTATTTGCAACAAAAACCTAATAGTAAAGGAGAAATCCCATTTAAAATAACTATGTAATTTATAATATACTTGGGAATCTACCTACCAAGACACACACAGGAACTAGATGAATACAACTACATAGTAGATAATTTTAATTATATAAAATTTTTAAAGTTTTTGTGCAAATAAAACCAATTCAGCTAAAATTAGAAGGGAAACAGTTAATTGGGGAGAAAATCTTTACAATAAGGTTTCCTGATTAAAAAAAGTCTTATTTCAATATATATGGAACTAATTTAGGTTTATAACACCTGTTTCCCCAATTGCTTGTTCATATCCTTTGAACAGTCAGTTTATATCCAACCTATCAAGAACCATATGAAAAAAATGCTTTTTAGAGCTCTTTAATTAGAGAAATGCAAATTAAAGCAATTCCAAACTTTTACCTCACACCCAGCAAAGTCTATAAAAAAAGGAAAATGACATGTTGGAAGGATTATGCATAAACAGGCCTAGTAATGAACTATTGGAGTTATGAACTGGTCTGGCCATTCTAGAAAGCAATTTGTAACTGTGATCCCAAAGCTGCTGAACTATGCATACCCTTTGACCCAGTTCTACAGCTACTAAGCCTATACCCCAGAGAAGTCAAAGGAAGAGGAAAAGGAACCATGTGTACCAACATATTTTAGTACTTCTTTTTAAATTGGCAAAGAACTGGAAACTAAAGGGGTTTCAACCATCAGAGGGGGAATGGATGAACAAATAATACTATATGAATATAATGGAATTATATTACACCATAAGAAATGATGAAAGAGATGGCTTCAGAAAAACCAAAGACTTCTAAGAACTGATGCAGAATGAAGTGAGCAAAACCTGGAGAATAATGTATACAAAAACAACAACATTGTAAAGACATTTTTGAAAGACTGATCTATCTTGGTTCGAGAACACCATTGATGAAGTGTAGTAACCATTTCCTGAAATAGAGGTGATAGACTCGAGATTCAGAATGAGATAAATTTTTGAACATGGCCAGTGTAGGAATTTGTATTATTTTACTGTGCATATTTGTTACAAGGGTTTTGTTTTTCTTTGGAGGCAGGAGCTGGGTGAAGTGCTAGAGTTAGGAGGTGAGAGGGAAAGAATAAATGATTGTTAATTTAAAAGATAGAAGCAAAAAAGAGGAGGTAATTGATAACAATAGGAGATAAGTGGGGAAAGATGCTAGTTCTATTTTTTTGAATCTCATTCTGTTATGTATGTTATAATTTATTATATAATGTATATTATACATAGTATATATTGTTATATAATATTATTAAATTCTAGCAATTAGCAACATGTTCCTCCCCTACTAATTGAAAGTAACACTATAAAAGGGGAAATTTTCAAGCAGATAAATTTTGAAAAAATTTAAAAATCCATAGGTACGGGGTAAGATGCAAGAAAAAAATATTTTGTGATAGATAATGGTTAAGTACACTATTGATTAAAATGTGAGATCACACTATTGAATGAAAGCTTAATATTGATTTGTGCCTGGTCATTTCTGAAAAGAATTAGTTAAGGGGAATATGAGAAACAATCTTTGCTAGTTACGAGGAGAATACGTACCTGGACTTCTATGGAGTGCCAACATTGCCCATCTGGCCCTGAGACCGTGGGTTCAAATTTGGTGAGCTTTCACTGTACATTGCTACCACTCTTCTTTTAACTAGTTCTAAATCATGCTGCCTGCTCCAAGAGAGCAGGGAATGTCTTGCTTGCTTGTTTTTATGTTCCCCATGCTTATCACAGTGCCTGGCACATAGTAAATTAAGCACTTAATAATTTTTATATTAGTTCATTAATATAAATAAATTCAGCTGATAAGACAAGCATCAAAAATAATTTTTTCCTTTATTTTATGAGCACTTAAGGAAGACTGGGAAATATTTCAGTGGTGAAAACTATAATATACAGGATAGATAAATATCTATCTCCACCAACTGCAGTGTGTTTTTCTTACAAATGTTGGTGCACAACATGCTATCTGAGGAGGTCTTTAAGAAGTCCATGGGAATTTGTACAATATTTTTTCAGTGGATTGTATTGATTGTCCTCAACATGATCTAGATGGTAATAGAACACTATTTTAAAACTTATGAAGAATTAATTCTGAGTTGAAGAAGGGAAAAACAGTGACAAAATGATGAAGCTTGTTGCATATGATTTTTTTTTTAATGTAGGACAGTTGCTGAAGAAGGATGAGCCAAGGATCTTTCCCCTCCTTATTCCTTTTTTTTTTTTTGTCTGATTGAGGAAAGAGGTTGCTTTAGGAATGTCCATTTTTAGTTTTTAAAATGACTAGCTCCATGATCTTAATTAAAATGTTGCCCTCAGGGAATCTGTTCCTCCAGGCTAATTGTAAATAACTGCTAATTATTCATTTGTATACTCTGTGCTGCAAAGTGTTAGACTTTTTTGACTCTATGGTCCAAAAATCCTCTGGCTAAGAAGGCAATACCTCAGGTCAAATAAGTTGTTTAGTTTTTATTTTAGCTAATGTGCACTTATCGCTGTCTTCTCTAAAGAACATCACCTATATGTGGATGGAAAGTGAGCATATTGAGAGTACTCTGAGATTATTCTCCCTTAATTATGAAATAGCCATACCAGTTTGAGAACATAAACTGTGACCAAAAGCAG